TTAAGCGTCAAGTGTAAATGAGGGCATTCTTAGATCTCTTATTGTTCTAAAATGTCTCAGTATTCTTTTGTTGTATAAAAATAAATGCAATTTAGAGTACTGAGATTGAGCCAAAGCAGTGCCTACGTTCACAGTGAAGATGCAGAGGTGAGGCTGGGAGAAGCCGTGTCTCCTCAGGCTCGCGATTACCTGGACACCGCTGTGTGTTGCCTTTTTAGCTTTTGTGTGTTTCACGAAAGCATTCCTAAACACTATTTTTAAACTCCTCAATAATTTACCAGTTAAAAATACCTCAGTAATTTGAGGGGAGTGGTGTTTTCAGCAAAGCTGAGCTCCTCTGCTTGTTAGCCTTGAGCAAGCTGCAAATCTCTGCGTGCCTCAATTTCCCCCATAGGCAAAAGGAGGTTAATAACCACCTCGGAGCTCTTTGAGATCCACTAATGGAAAGCTTTTTGTAAGAATAAAGTGCTGTAATTATTATTGCTATTATTATTGTACCTGTTCTGTGTGTGTTAAAGCTTAGGGTGATACTCACACCTAAATAAGGCTCCACGTCTCCTCATTGCAAAGACACTGATGATTCCAGAGGGCGGTTCAGACCACCAAAATTAGGCTTTTAATTTTGAAATTCTTTCCATCAGGATAGTCCTCTGGAGATTTCGATCTTTTTCCTCTACTTGTAGAGAAAATAGAGCAAAGTTTAAATCCCATCCCTAAGGCTGGAATTCATTTTGCTGAACTTCAGCAGGGTAGAAGTTAGGTGCCTTGTCTAAGGTGGTTGTCTAAGCTCTTTCTGTTGATGGGGAAGGAGGGGAGATGACGATGTTCCAGGCTGCAATCTCCAGGCTGAGATTACTTGACCCTGAAGTTCCTCTCTCTGGCTGCGGTGGGAGGGAGTTTAGGTGATGAGCTTGGCTCTACATGCCTAAATTTAAGAAAGCTAAAGAGAAATAGTGACTTAAAGGATGAAATTCAGGTTCTGCTAGCTAGTATCTTTTGTATCTAGTATTAAAGTACTGCTGCTCATTGATACACAGCCATTTCAGCGCAAAGGTATGGTGCTTCTTACAGGATTGCTGCTTTTAACCTACAGCTGAAATTTTACGGTTGATTCCCCCTTCTTGCTTGTGCTGCCATTATAATGAATTAAGGGATAGTAGGAGTGTGGATCTTACAGCACGGTTTAGACCGCTGAATGTTGAGATGTGGCTCTGTGAAAAGCATGTGAGCGGCTAGCAGATAAGAAATTACTGGATTTTCTACGTTGCAAGCTTAAAATAAAAATTGACATGTGTAGACCTGAATTTTTGCACACGTGGCTTCTGATTCGGTTGTCCTGAGCGGAATTAGTTTTGATGAGCTGTGTAAATTAAGGGAGAATTGGACACTTGGAAACGCTTGTCCCCATGATGACCTCTGCCTCTGAATTCTTTAAAAAAAATAAAATAAAAAAGCAGTCTTTCCCTCCCCCTGCTAACGTTAAATGTCAACAGCTGTATTTTGCTGCTGGTACTTATTAACTTTCAGCCTTGTCTTTTTCAAGCATTTATTGCTTTAGAAATGAATTAAAGCTTATCACCAGGGAAATATAAGTCTTCCAGCTATCTTGGCTTCTCAAAAGATGCAATTTTTCTTAAATAGATTGTTTAAATTACTGACCAGGGAACCTCCTAATTGTGCTACATTAAATTTTGATTCTGGCATGGTTTGTTTTGGTGTCTGTTTTTCTAGCTGTTGAAATCCTGTTACAGTCAGTAATTACGAGGAGTGGCTCTATTGTAAAGACAAGATGATAAGTTACAACTGTGGTTGTAGTTAATCCTTTCACCTTTTCAACCTGAAGGCATTTTTTCACTTATTTCCTAGCTGAAGCCAGTTGTCCTTATTTCTTGGTACCACACGTTCACTTTGCATCACATTATCGGATGATCACGTAGTTGGTTAGGGAAGTATTATTTACTTCCAAATTTAACCCCTCCTGTCCCGTCCTTGTAGCACTGAAAAGGAAACAGGCTTTTGGGAATGAAGGATTTTTAGAGCATTTTTTTTTAATATGCCTTCGCTGCAACTTTCATCTAGTTGTAGTTGTCTACACCTTATATATTGGTTTATTTATTGTTGGTTTTTTAACACACGTAGGCATGTATTGCTTATTTCTTCTTTTATACATGCTGGGAATCCTAGGATTTGTTGCAGCAGTGTCGCCATTATCTTGGCCTCGTTGGTCATTTACTGGTGATAGATATGGATAACCCTGGTGTCAGGGGCCTTTCATTTCACTTCCAAATCTGATCCTGAAAGGCAAGGCTGAGAAAAGCAAAAATAGATCTCTGCTGTGATTGCTTTGTAAACAGGCAGCTTGTTTTTTTCCAGATTGTAAAATTGGTGGCTATTACACTGATAAATATAATTACGGTATGTAAATTATATTGAAAATATTTTTGTCTGTTTGATGTATACTAAATTTAAGCTAAGTTATAAGGTGTGCTGTTTGGAAGTGTGGAAGATACAAGAGTGGAGCTACAGATAACAAGTTTATGCTTGTATTTCCTACTGATGAAGACTTTCACACAAGTTATTTCTATGGGTAGGTGATGAGAATATCACTCTGCATGTATATACATTTATTATACATTTTTGCATGATTATACATGTAGGAGTGGTACAATTTTGACTTGAGACTATTGGTGCCTTTTGTCCAAATATAATTTTACTTGTGTAGACAACATTATCGAAAATCAAATTTCGCTTCTGCTTTTGGAGATCTTAGTAAGAAGCGAGAGAAACCAACACCTGAAGAAACAGTACCTAGCTCCTGAAATTTTAGATAACCTCTTGAAAAAATGGTCAAATAGTCAATATTGTACTTGACCCTCGTATCTTCTGCACTCGACTGTTTATTTTTCTAGATCACATTATATATGTTCACGCTGAACTCTGATGATAAGACTGAAAGAAAACATGCCTCTCATGATTCAGTCCAGTTGTAACTTCTGCATGATTAAATTATTAATCATTGGCTTTCACAAATAATTAACTGAACATCAGCCAGCTTAATTTTGAACTTGGTATTCCATTAGTTTGTAATTGCCTTTTAAAAAGACAAAGATTGCCTTTCAGTTAATTATCGGGACTTCTTTTCCAGTCATAATCATCAGCATTTCATGTTGCGAACAGTTTGGTCTTTAATACATTGACATTTAACTACCCATTTATTTTTGTCGGGTCTGTTTTAAGTTTGTAATATAACATTGTTTTATGAAATTGTTGTTTTGGAGGCAGATCTGATCGGAAATATTTTGTGAATTTCTTCATACCTTGTTGCAAAACTGATCTTTAGTACGACTTAAGCAATATGGTCACTCTTTAACGAAGTGTGTTGCTAATCACAAAATAGGCGTTTCTTAAAATAGTGGGTTGAATTACGTTTCAGGGACCAAGTTACAAAAAAAAAAAACACCACAAAACCAAAAAATCCCTCCCTAAAAACCTCAGTAGAAACAGATTTTCAGAGAACGAAATTTGAAACTTCAGGGACCAAGTTACAAAAAAAAAAAAAAAAAATCCCTCCCTAAAAACCTCAGTAGAAACAGATTTTCAGAGAACGAAATTTGAAACTTTTAGTTCATCATGTTCTTTCTGTCTTCAACAGGCACTTAACGCTCCTAAAAGAAACCAATCTTTCCTGAAAAGTCTTTCCATTTTATTCTTTGTGACTTTTAAAGATTTCTGTAGCCATTTTGTAATTCTGAAGGTCCTATCTTCCTAAACACGTTATTAGTTTATGATTATTTTATATTATCCCACACAAACTACACCCTCTATGTATCATACCCTTAACAAAAAAGTCCTGCAGACACTCAACTGCCAGAACTTCCTTGGAGTTAAAGCATTGCAGTAGCAAAGCAGCGGAGCTTTGGCCCAGCCTGTTTTTCTATTTCATACTCGGGGTTTTGTGGATGAAGTCTTAGCCCAAAGAAAGTTTTGATTCTGCCGTTTGGGGAGCAGGAACTCCAACCGCGTTCATCCACTCTGAGTCGATAAGCTATAGCTGAGATGAGGCATCAGAGTTAAAATGCGCATCCTTTCAGAATGACGATATTTATCCGTTCTCTCTTTGCTTCCACATTAATCATTGTCTTGAATACGACTTTTTTCCGAGCCTCTTCTGTTTCTAGCATGCTTTCCAATTATAAGTGACTTTCATTCCTCACAAAGAAAATAGTCCGTCCTAACAAAATAGACCAAAACCAGCTTTTTGTTATTCCTCAAGAATAGGTTTCAGAATCATATAAGCAATTTTCTCTCCCTCTTTCCCCCTTCACTTTGGTGGCCAAAAATGCATATGGTAATCATATTGAATTAAAAGCATATTTATCACTGCACGTTACAGTTTTGTTTCTTGTTATTCTTGACCTTAAAAAAAAAAAAACACCAAAAAACATTGCCATTTTGAAAAATTCCCCTGTCCTTGACAGGTAAATGTTACGAAAGGAAAGTTGCCTAATGTTAAATTTATTGTCACTGGATCAGTTATATCAAAAAGTTAGTTTTATTCAATCAACCCTAAAGTAATGTAAGCTGTCACTTGAGTTTTGTAAAATTCTCTAGATAAATATCTTGTCTTGCCAAATTTAATGTCCTGTAACTTATTTTTTTATTTTGGACTGAAGGTTTTATCCTTTTAAGATTGTAAATGTAATGTCGTCAGATACGGAGATGTTTATGTGTTAATGTAAAAGATAATACACAAATAACTGATACATTGATAAACATGTTTTTCTTACATTTGTGTTTTCTGTGTATGCAAAGGTTAAAATGTCTCTGTAATCTCAGACTATGTTCATTAACTGAAGTTTAATAATTCATATAATTTATAGTTCTTTAAGAGCTTCATGTAGGAGATTGCATTAATCTTTCAACAAATTATTTGTACTTTTAAAGGTGTCTTTCATAGTATGCTGACTTCTAATACGCTTTGCTTTTCTCTCTTTCTGCAGATGGACCTCCAGTTGTAGCTCATTATGATATATCAGACACAAATTCAGACCCAGAAGTGGTAAATGTGGACAATCTGTTGGCGGCTGCAGTAGTTCAAGAGCACAACAATTCTTTAGGAAATCAAGACTCGGGATCTACCTGGAGAACCAGAGGGCTGCTAGATGAACTGAGTGCTGATACAGGTTTGTTTAAACTCTCTTCCTCTGACGTTTGTTCCAGCATCTCAGTTGGTGTCTCTCCCTTTCTTGCTTTCAGTATTTTTGTAGTTTATGCAGCTTTAAAAGCTCCCCGTGTGGATTTTGCAGTAAAACAATACAGGTGCTTATTAAAAAAGTCTGACATTTATTCTAAAATACAACTGATAAAAATGGACAAAGATTCCTGCAATGTATTTTTGACACTAATTTTCTTAATTATTTTTTTCTCCTTCTTTTCCCTCGAATTACTTCTTGGAACTTAGGTCTGGGGTTTTGGTGGTGTTTTTTTTAAAATGAAAGTGAGCTAAACTTGTTACTGAATGGTTGATTATGACGACCCATGCCACCACCTAGTAAACCAATTATAATCTCATTTTAAGTATTGTAGTTGTCTGTGTGTGTCTTTTTTTTGTTTGTCTCTCCATTTCTTTAGAATACAAGCATTAATTATTCCCATATTCCATCTGCATTTCTAACATACCTTAGAAAATTGGGCAGACCAGCATCAGATAAAGATGAAGGGTGAAAAGGCGCTGGTAAGTGGGCTTAGCATCAAGAGACAGCAAAGAAATTTCTTTCAAGAAAGCAAGAGCGGGAATACTGTGGAAGAATTCAGAGACGTTCACGTAGCTTATAAAAATTGTTCAGCTTCACCAAGTGCTTGCAACTCTTCACTAACAAAAGAGTTCAGCAACAATGTGAAATGCTACTGTGTTTTGGATGCAGAGAGCTAACAGGGAATATTTCCTATCGACCTCATCCCGTAGCCTTGTATGCCAACGTATTGCCTTCCTGTCCACTCATTTTTTTTTTAATACCCGTGTTAAGATTTTTAGCTGCATAAGAGAGTCTTGCCTGCAGTGGTGGAGCAGAGCAGGGTTTTTTTTTGTTTCATGCTGTGTCTTCCAAATGTAAGCCTGCCAAAGGGCACCTACGCTGGAAGTGTCCTGGTAGCTCTGAGCTACTTTTCAATGTCTATAAGGCTTAAAGAAGTAGAAATATGTGGCAGGTTTTGAAAGAAGTGTTCCATTATTGTCTAGTGGACAAGTCCATTATTTGAATATGAGAATCTCTGTTGCATTATTTTCCCTGTGCTCTGAGGCTGGATGTTGTTCCAGCCTTTTTGAAGCTAGCCGGTGTTTTCCAAGCTCACTGGTATTGTTTGCAGGATAGCAGCTGACTGATAGTTAGCTATTTGACCCCTAACAAGCCCTCTCCTTTATAAAGTGGTTTATTAAACGATTAGAACAGCTGAAATTAACTTTATTATATAGCACTAATGGATTGGTACTTCAAAGGAGTGTAAGGAAATAAAAAGTAATGTTTCTTACTAAGCTTTCTTCCACTTTCCACTTACGAGTACAATGCTGTGATGCAGGTAGAAATTTGTCTTCCTTCCTCCACCTATATCCAAGGGGACTTGCAAGGAAGAGGTTGCCAGGAAAGAGAAAACTAGAAAACTTCAAGAAACTTCTTCATCCTTGACCCTATGGGAACATGTCCAGACAAATTTGCTCCTGGTGCTACGGCCATTTCGACGTCTGAAAGGATGAATCTCTTTTTCTTCCTGCATACACCTTGCCCCAGAGCCCTGTAGCCTCCATACGCCTCTGACTGCACGTTTGTCAGTACTGGCCTTTTCTTACCATGTCTGGGATTGCACATTTGGATAGCAGAATTTTCAAAGCTTACATCTTGTTCCCAAATTTAATCTTCAACCAGTATCTAGTTTAACAGACAATAAATGATGTGTTCCCATGGGAAAATAACAACATAAGCTTTATCTAAGTGAAAAATCTTATTAGGACACACTATCACATCTTTGTGCATGGACAAATACCTTGGGCTGTTTTGCAAGCCCTGATGTTGTAGGGCAAACAAAATATCTCCTTTGGGCATCATCCTAATGTTTGTGCAAAGAAATTAACAATGTAGGCATGTTATTAGGCATGAAATTTGTATAGCCAGAGGCTGTAAATCTATCTGTATGCTATAATTCTGATTTACACTCGGCTACTGTTGCAATATTTACTCTGCTAATGATGGTTTCTCTACTGCTAATTACCTTTTTGTTCTCTGAACTTAAAGCTATGCATGAAAGCTCTTTTGGGGCTCTCATTTATACCTCTGGGGATTCATTTGGGGGCTATTTAAGAGGTGGTCTGCTTTGCCTCTCTGCCAGGCGTTACCCTGTCTAGCAAAGGGTGCAGAATGGTGGTTACATCATTAATGCATTAATACAACGTATTAAGGCAGGTTGATATCCATACCAGTTTGCGTGAACCGGTGACCAAGGATTGTGTTGCTGTTCTGCTGCCTGTGCTGTAGCAGCAGTGACGTTCAGGAGCGGGGCGATGCAAATCACTGGGGCGGTGATCATTTAAAGCTCACGGTTTGCATTGCCAGCACATGAATCAAAGCCTCTGAGCACTTCCATTTCATGTTTCACAGTGTGCCCAGCCACTTCTATTAAAGAAATCCCAAGCACAAATACAAATTGGGGGATGAAGGGATGGAGAGCAGCCCTGCCGAGAAGGACTTGGGGATGCTGGTGGATGAGAAGCTGGACATGAGCCGGCCACGTGCGCTCACAGCCCAGAAGGCCAATCGTATCCTGGGCTGCATCCAAAGCAGCGTGGCCAGCAGGTCGAGGGAGGGGATTCTGCCCCTCTGCTCTGCTCTGGTGAGACCCCACCTGCAGTACTGCGTCCAGCTCTGGAGCCCTCAGCATAAGAAAGACACGGACCTGTTGGAGCGGGTCCAGAAGAGGGTCATGAAAATGATCAGGGGGATGGAACACCTCTCCT